CCGGGCGGGGCGGCTGAGGGACAGAACTCCCTCTTCACGCGAAAGCAAGAGGCAGGGGCCAGCCCCAGGCTGTTGCTGCGTGCAGCCCCTCTGGCTGCCCTCTGGCCACCCCTCCGCCTGCGGCGCTGGCAGTACGCCCACCTTGACTGCTTTTCTCCTCATCAGAAAGCAGCGTTTTTGGCAGTGGAGGCGAAGTAGCGTCCTTAATGACGTGAGAGTAACTCTACAATCTCCATCTCCGCTCTGCTAAAGTCTGCACTTGCCTCCTGGTATTTAGCTTGGGGTCCTGGTGCCCCGTCCTTGCGGGACGTACCACTGTTACCTTCCACGGACTCCCCAGTACAGAGAGCTCCTCTGTGTCTTGGTCTCGAGTCTGAGCCCGGAACTATAGTGTGACCAAGACAAGCACGCAGACCTGGAAACCTGTAGAAGCCAACAGCTTCTACAGAGCAGCTCTTGACAGTAAAGGCTGCCGAGGAAGGTTACAGAACGCCCCGCTGCATCCCAGCACCCAGGAAGCCTTACCCAGTGTTGAGTTAGCTATTCCAGCCCTTAGGTTGGAAGAACTATAGGCTATAGTACTAACCTTGAAATTCTGTGTTACTATTACTTAAAATGTATTTATATTATTTAAAATATATTTAGCTGCTTACTTTAGAAAGGAGAGCTGAAGCTGCTTTCACAGCAGAGACCTCCATACCCTTCATTTCTTGAATGCCTGCTCTTTCTGTTTCCTCAGCAGCAAAAGCTATTTCTCTGGCTAGCCTGGTTACTGTAAATGAAACAAAGAGAACGTTACTGCAGCTCAGCACTAAGTAGGGCGAGTCTCTGCTCTCCCAGCCGAGCTGCCAGGCAAAGGGCAGCAGCGGCTCTGTCACGTGCAGCATCTTTCACACAAATAATTCCCGCGTGCCGTGCAGCATCGGCTACAACAGACCGAGATTTGAACAGACCAGTGCAGGGGCACGTTTGTGTGTGCGGAACGAGGAGAGGTAACATGCAGACACATGGGCAAAGGAAGGGAAAAAAGTCTTTGAAGAGGGCTTTTGCAAAAAAATACAGACAGAAATATGATAAAATCTAAGCTAAGTGAGGACTCCAGTTATTTTAGTTGGAAAAGATTTCTGAGCAGCAAGAAGTTGTTCCTGGGTAGCTTTCATATACAAACCAGGCAAACAAAACACAAGAAGGTACATCTGGAGGCAAAAAAAAAAAAAAAAAGAAAAAAATATTATCGAAGATAGAAAACTAAACTGCTCACACCCAGAGGCAGCCGAGCTGCCAGGCAAAGGGCAGCAGCGGCTCTGTCACGTGCAGCATCTTTCACACAAATAATTCCCGCGTGCCGTGCAGCATCGGCTACAACAGACCGAGATTTGAACAGACCAGTGCAGGGGCACGTTTGTGTGTGCGGAACGAGGAGAGGTAACATGCAGACACATGGGCAAAGGAAGGGAAAAAAGTCTTTGAAGAGGGCTTTTGCAAAAAAATACAGACAGAAATATGATAAAATCTAAGCTAAGTGAGGACTCCAGTTATTTTAGTTGGAAAAGATTTCTGAGCAGCAAGAAGTTGTTCCTGGGTAGCTTTCATATACAAACCAGGCAAACAAAACACAAGAAGGTACATCTGGAGGCAAAAAAAAAAAAAAAAAGTAAATAATATTATCGAAGATAGAAAACTAAACTGCTCACACCCAGAGGCAGATAAGACAATGCAGGCACTGATACAAAAAGGCCACTGCCCGCCCGCTGTGAGTTCCCAAACGAAAGGTAACACGAGTGCTGCAGCTTTCACAGCATCAAATCGGTATCAGAGTTCTGGCAAACGTCTCAAACGAATTCAAGCAGCTCTGTTGTGTTTCGCTAGAGAAAAAAAACCCAGAAGGAAGGAAGTGCTGGCTGGGATCGTCAACCAGCAAGAAAACAAAGTTGGAGGTATTCAGCCACGTAACGTAGTCCGCTGCTGACGGGCGGAGTGCTTTCTGTTCTCAGACACAGCCCGAGGCCTCCGCGGGCCCCGAGGTGCCCGTCGGTGCCGGTCGAGGCACAATACCCAACAGCATGGGAACGGGAGTGCTGCTCTGGGCTGGAAGAGATCCAAACCCAGTTTCTTCCACAACCTCAGCCTCAGCCAAATGTTGTTTCAGCGTTGCTTAGGTACTTGCAAGAGGACCCACCCCTTCTCAGGCGAGCCTTAGGATTATCAGGCAAGTCACACGTGCCCACCAGTTTGGTCACTTCACAGTAGCACGGCTCCTGCAGCAGCGACTGCCGTTGTCAGGCTGCTCAGCTAGACCAGAGGAACCGTAGGTCCGACGGACAGTGTAGAGAGGAAGGATGTGAACACAGATCTATCACGGCCTCCGTAAGCGCTGTAGCCACCCATGACGCAAGGTGTTGGTCCCTCGACTGTGTTTCTGGAAGAAAGACCCGGCGTAGATGTCTACCCCAGGGAACTGCTCACGTTTCTTTTCCCAGCTAACGGGCCAGGATAGTTCCAAGTGAAGCAACAAATAGAAGGTTAAATGAAGGCAGACACTGAAAAACTGCGTCACACCAGGAAATTCCAACCTCTGGGCCTGAGCAGCACTGCCTAGGGACACAAGTACGTGCTGCCATGCTTGCCGCTGACGTGCACTTACTCCTTGCTTCCAGGAAGGAACGCAGCGACGTTGATTAAATCAGTTTCTGCATCGGTGCACGCGTCCTGTCACTGCAGACTGGTGTATGTCTCGATAACTGACCTGAAAGAGAAGTGTCCAACTCATCTGACACCACCTAACGAGAGGGAATTTCTCAAACATCCACTCGCATCATGGTTTCTAACAGCAGCTACAGCACGTTCTGTCGGTTGAGTGTCTGATTTCCTAGTGCAAGGCTGCTTGATTGTAAGAAAAAAGGAAGTATTTTTAACTGTGGAAAATACTTGAGTAATACGACTTTTCTCATTGGAGCTATTTCTAGCTCAGTGTTTTCAAGATGATGAAGTGCAGAGAATTTAAATACAGTGGCGTGTAATAAGCAAAATTCGTCTCTCCTCAAATGGAACTTATTGGCAGGGGGCCTGACCAAAGCTTATGTTCTTTTCAACTAGTATTTGTGATTCTGAAGCAAATTTTAAAATTCTGTGCTTCAGCGGAGGAATGACAAACGACCACGTTAGCCAATGAGAACACTGTTTTGATTGCTGTGGCTATTTTGGTTCGGTCGGTTTTGCGCAACCGCTCGCAGGCTCCTCTGTACCAAACGCAGCCCTGTTTCCGCACCTCCTTCTGCGTCCTGGCAGCAGCGGCAG